TCCCTGGTACCGATTAAATATAATATATATAAACCTCCACCCAGGCCCCTTTTACAAGTGCCAGTCCAGTCCAGACGCTAAAGCAGGCCCTCAACATAAAATGCTAAACAGAGTCTATGCAGCTTAAAGTCCAAAGGGAGAGTAAAAACAAGCAAACCAAATCTAATTACAAAATGAAATATACAGGCTGAGAATGCTCAGTGGCCTGCCTTACAAGTGTGAGGTCATGAGTTCAATCTCCAGTACCAAATTAAAAAAAAAAAAAAAACTAAGAAATATATTTGTGTAACATAAATACACGGGGACTTCTTTAGGACAAAGATACGTTCTATAGGAAAATATTTGCATTAACGCAAGTGTGGTGGTGTATACCTGTAATCCTAGCACTTAGGTGGCCGAGACAGGAGGACTGCACCCAGGTTCGAGGCCAGCCTGGACTACATGGTGAACTGAAGGACAGTTTGAACTACATACCGGGATCCTGTCTCAAAAAGCTAAGAAAACAAAAACAGACTTGAAAATTGAAAAAGGAGTAGGCTATTTAAGCCTCTTAGAATAGCAGTTCTTTTCTATGACTCAGGTGAATACGTAGGCAATGAAATATATATATATGGTGCCTTGTGCATCCTACACCAGAGGGGTGCAGCAAGTGACTGCTGCTTTCTGCGGTAAGCCGGGAGGCCTCCGGAGAGCTTTTCCGTTCCTGACACTGACACACACACTTCCACTAACGCCAAGGGCGATCTCTTCTAGCTCCCCACTGCGTCCCCAACCTACCCACTTGGTCCCAACACCAGGCCGGGAGCGCCCCTACATTCCCCCCACCCCTTTCTTTGTTTGGGCTTTCTCCCTAGGGGCTGCTGCATTTTGCCACCTCCCCTCCTTCCTGAGCCCGAATCTTGCCTCTGTGAAACCCCCATAAGTCGTCTGGTAGAACTCATCTTCCTCCTCTGCCTCCAGGAGCCCAGAAAGCCGGTTTCCTGCGGTCTTCCGGGGGGCCCGGCCTCCAGCCAAACTCATGCCGCCTACAGAGACAGCGCTGCCACCAGCGACTTCTCGCACCAAGCTTTGATCTCGCAGCTCGGCACTCAACACCATCACCTGCGAGTGGCCGCTGACGGCGGAAGCCGGCGTTTGCAGGCATAAGCAACAGAGCATCGGGGAGCTCCGCGTCCTGCCTCTAAATCCTTTTACCTTTAAGCCTTGCCCAAGTCTAGCACAGACTTTCCACCTGCTGCGACACCGTTCAATTGGCTTGCTCAGTGAATCCTCTTCAGTGTTACCAGGACCCCCACTATCCTCCTAAAGTCTAGAATTTAGTAGTCAGCATGTTTTTAAAAGAAATCAGTCTCGCTGTGCTGCAGTTCTTTTTTGTTACTAAAATACCGAGGATCCAACCCAAGGACCACTCTACCACTGAGACACACACCCGGCCCTTTATAAGTTTTATTTTGAGATAGTATCTTACTAGCCTAGGCTGGCTTCCATTTTGCAATACTCCTGCCTCAGCCTCCAGAGTGGTTAGGGTTAAAGAGGCCACTGTGCCCAGTCACAGTCCATTTTTAAACTGCACAATTGAAAACCTTTCTAAAAATACAGACTTTGTCATTTCTATTTTCAAAAGTGTTTAATGAAGAAAAAAATGTTTAATGGTTCTCCGTCATCTATGGATATTCAAGAACCATGAACTCATGACCACTAGATTGTCAGGCAGGCACTAAAACCACTGAACTAAATCCCCAGCTCCATCCACCCCTTATTCTTTTTTTTTTTTTTTTTGGTCTTTTTCATTTTTATCGGTCCTGGGGATCAAACTCACGACCGCCTGCTTGCAAGCAAGAGCTTATGCCACTGAGCTAAATCCCCAGCCCCTCGTTATTCTTACTTCTGTGTTGTTCTTGCCTCTTCATTCTGATTTAAGGAACTATTCTAAGACCTGAAGGATGCTTTTTTCCTCTGCCACTGGACTATGGCTTCAGCCCCTAAAAAAGTACTTTATTTTATTTTTGATACCAGGGATTGAACTCACAGCCTTGTGTTTGCCAGGCAGGCACTTGTGCTGCTGAGCTAAATCCCTGGCCCTGAAGGTGCTTTATTTTTATTTGTCTTTTTTGTGGTACTGGGAATTGAACTCATGACCTTGTGCTTGCCAGGCAAGTGCTTATGCCACTAAGCTAAATCCCCTCCCAGAAGCTGCTTTAATAAAGCTGTGTGTGTACTCATGTGTACTTGTGTGAATGTGTGGCCCTATTTTTAAAAAATCTTTTTGAGACAGTTTCACCATGCAGTTCAGGTGGATCTTGAATTTGCTTTGTATTCCTGGCTGGCCTCAAACCCACAGCAATCCTGCCCCTGCCTTAACAAGTGCTGGGATTACAGGTATGTGCCACCACTCTGAAGTGTGGCTCTATTTTGAGGTCACAGTTTGACTTCCTTCCCAAAGCATGCATTTCTATTTCCTTGGGGCACTGAGCCAACATGTCCTGCTCTGCCCTGCTTCCACACCCTGCCACGTCACCTACTTCTGCTATGCCAGGAATGTTACTGGGGAAAAGTGGCTCTGTGACGCAGAGGGTACTAAAGGATGAGTAACATTGGCAGCAGAAAAAAGATTGAGGGGTAAAAGATGGGAGATACCTGCTACTCACACATCTGTAATTCCACTTTTTTTTTTTTTTTGTCTTTTTCATTTTTATCGGTACCAAGGATCGAACTCACGACCGCCTGCTTGCAAGGCAGGTGCTTATGCCGCTGAGCTAAATCCCAGCCCCTGTAATTCCACTTTTTGAATTTTGCCTTCATCTGTTCATATATTTAGAAGACACATTTAGTTGACAGGAATTGGCACTTACTCTTTCCCAGGTTACTATTCTCGATGCTTGAGATATAAAAATGGAGAAGATGTAACTTTTCCCTGAAGAGTTTGGTCTTATAAGACAAGCAGATAAACAGACATAATATAAAGTGGTAGGTGTAACAGCAGTCATTATCTTGACATATAAAGTAGAAACAAAGACCTCCAAAATGCTAAAAAATAGGGATTTCTTCATTCAGGAAGGGTGAAAGGAAATTCACTGATAAACTCTCAAAGAGATTTCCTTATTTGACGGCCTTGGTCATTCTGGGGTTTATTAGACTATTCCAATTTTGAAATTAGAAACAGCTTTCTTTCTATACTACCTGATGTGTGTGTGTGTGTGTGTGTGTGTGTGTGTGTGTGTGCTGGGGACCCAGCTCATGACCTTGTGTTTATTAGGCAAGCACTGGAGCCACTGAGCTAAATCCCCAGCCCTACACTAGCTGATTTTTTTTTTTTTTAACTAGCTGATTTTTAAAGTAACTCAGGAAATAGTAGTAACTGCATGCTTTTTCTGGAAACAAGAATAATTTATTCAACAATTTTTTTTTTTTTTTTTTTACTGAATACCTGTGAGCCAAATTCCTGAGCTATAGGTGCAGGGAATCATAAAACACTTGGAAGCTATATTGTTTCACTGTTGGGGAAAGACAAACAGTAATCCAAATGGGTGGAGTTGGTGTATCTTCATACCCAAAGGAGGCCAAATAATCCAGCAGGGGGCAGCAAGGAAACAATTATTTTAGATTTTCGTGAAAGCCGAGCAGAAAGCTGAAGTACAAGAGAGGGTGGATGTTCTATTAGCTTTCAGGTTTTAGTTTCCCATTGGAGAGCCCGGGAGAATTCTGAATAGAGCAAGAAAGCAAGCCACTTCAGGGGTTAGAAAACCAAGGATTTCCCCCAATTCTCCTGCATTTATTCACAAGTGATTGTTCAGCACCTACTTTGTACAGTGAGAAAAGGAAGTGAAGATATGAGTGAACCGAACACTTGCTCTCTAGAAGATTTGTTTAACTAGACAGATCTTCAGATCCCTACCAAGATTCACAATCCAGTGTGTTAAAACTGACTAGAGATAATTGGACTAGAAAGAAGGAATTTCTCCTGCGCAACTCCATGACCTTTGAAGCAGATAATTGATAGAGGCCAAGGACTTTGTATGATGATAAGATTGTAATAGGTAGTATAAATGCCTTTTTTCTTTTTTTCTTGTGGTGCTGAGAACAGACCCCAGGGGAACTCTATCACTGAGCTACATCCTTAACTCTTCTATTATGGACTGAATTGTCCATTCTGGCTTCGAAAATGCGATATTCCTGCTTCAACCTCTTGAGAAGTAGGGTTTACAGAAGTGCTGGGCCACTGTGGTCTTTTGACAGGTCTTCATTGATTTATTAGATATTTATCGCTGCAGGGTGTGGCGGCGGCACGGGCGCCTGAAATCCTAACATTCTGGGAGGCGGAGGCAGAGAATGGAGAGTTCGAGCCTAGCTTGGCTAATTTAGGGAGACTTTGTCACAAAAAACAAAAAAGGGCTGGGGGTGTAGCTCAGTGCGAAGACCCTGGGTTCAATCCCCAGTACCAAAAATAAAAACAAAAACACGAACCAAATATTTACTTAACCATGCCTAGCACTGTGTTTGACACAAACAGATCTATTTTGAATGTCATTCAAAGGAAGGTAAGACAAACCGGAAAGGGACTGGGAAGAATTTTTGGTGGCATGTGATTTTTACAGTATTTCATTGTGTAAGGTCTCTGACTTGACAGTAAAGTTTCTGTTTGTAGCTCTTTTCTGGATTGTGAATCTGAGAAGGCCAGTCCCGGTATGCTTAACCTGAACTCAGAGCACGCAAAACCCATTCTTTCCTATGAGCTGATGCTAAATGGACCTACCGAACCACCATAGAAGTAGTCCGCTGACCGCCGCGCGTCTGTCTTCCTCCGATGGATTCGCCAGCGCGTCAGTCACGTGACCATCAGTAGCCTTCTGATTGGCTTTGTTGTTCTTCCCTTTCCAATAGGGTGGAACTCCGAGAAGGTTGGACGCATGCGCACTATTGAATTTTTCTTGGCTACCCTAGAGCCGAGCGGAGGGGTTGAACGATAAACAGGCTGTGACTTAGGAGAAGGAGGAGGAGGGGGGCGAAGGGAGGAGCAAGAGAGGGAGGGGGACGGCTTTTCCCGGATTGTTCGTGCCTCGGATTTTCTTTACTTGTGGTCTGGTCTGGTCGCGGAGTCCCTGCCGCCAGTTTGAGCCTAGTCCCTTGTAAAAAAGGAAAGTATCTCCAGTGGAGAGCCGTCAGAAATCAGAGGGGTTGCGAGACGGTAGCTATATACCCTTATGCCAGGCAATGGTACAGCCCTGAGCTGGTCCCGAAACCAGCCAGAAGTGTCTGAGAGAGGCCCCAGAGGGGGCAGGAAGGTGGTCCGCAGAACTGGGGCTCTGTGAAGAGACGTGGGGAAGATTCGATTCCGAGAAGAGGAAGAGCCCGAGTGAAAGGGTGTGAGGCCGCTGAGGAGGAGGGGGCTGCCAAGATGGCGTCGGCCTCCTCTGGGCCGTCGGCTGTCGGATTTTCAACTTTGGATCCCGGGGTCTCGGGGCCGACTTCTGGTAAGCCAGGCGAGGCCGTGGCAGTGGGCTGGTGATGATTGTTCGACGGGATGTAGAGGGAGATCTGGGTGGGCATTTGTAGTTGGGAATCTCTGAGGAGTTTCGGCAAGGAGGACAGACAGACTGGGTTTTTATATGGCAATTTCGGAGCGGGCAGGGGAGTGTGCAAAGAATGGGTTAGACGACTGAGAAAAGGGAAGCTGCCGAAAATGTTGTCTTCGAGGAAACCTGATTGAGGAATTTTAGGAGGTTGGATTAAACTAAAAGGAGGCTTGGTTCGTAGAAAAAAACTGAAGAGTACGAGGCAGGTAGTATCCGAATTGATAGTGGAGTGAGTTGGATCAAGATAGTTAAGAGATCATGGAACTAAAGGGCCCTGAAGAATTCTGTGACGCCTTTGATTGCTGGGGAGTTGGGGAGCAGGAGAGGCATTATCGGGGTTGTCTTTTCTCCGCAGATTCTCCCCCCATGCGTCATTCCTTCTCATTCGCCCCACCCCCAACGCGAGGGGGCGCCGCTGCACTCACGCAGTTTCTCAGGCTAATTCATCTCTGGACTACCTCCTAACTTGGGGAAAGAAATTCAAAGTTTTTGTTTTGGTTTTGTGAAGCACGGTATTGAACCCATTACGCTAAGCAAGACCCTTAACAGCACTGAACTGCATCCTCAGTCCCTAGCAATGGGAGATTGTGAAAAGTGTCAGGAATGTGCAAAATTAGGGTCAAAAGATTCTTAGAGAAGATACAGTGTAGTCTTGTGTTGAAGTAGAGCCTGAGGAAAGTGATGTTTGGCGTTAGGCTTTAAGAGAAGAGATTGGTGGCAGGTAGCTGTTGAGTGCTGTGGGGCAATGTTGCCTAATAGGAATGCTTAGGAGGTGTCAGGGTATTGGAATTTGGAGAATGGAGACAACATAGAGGCCGAAGAGTGGTTAGAAACTAACAAAGATCTTTAATCGAGGGCTGAGGAGTCTCACAAGAAAAATAACAGATTGTGTGTAGGAGGGAAATGTGTATATGAGGGGAGTGAGAAACTGTTCTAGAGCATCTGTCAGAAATGTCTGGTGTTCAGTGCCAGGTGTGGTGGTGCACCCTGTAATCCCAGCTCAAGGTAGGGTAGGCTGAGGCAGGAGGATTGTGGTGAATTTAAGACCAGCCAGGGTTACGTAGGGAGTTCAAGGCCAACCTGAACTGTGTTTTGAGAGCCTGTCTCATAAAACAAAACGACACACACACACCCCAAAAACAGAGATATTTGATGTCCCACAGTGACTGTTGCCTGTACACCCAACAAGAGAGGCTACCTGATGCTGAATGCTTTACTTAAATTTTAACATTTGCTTAGATTGGGGATTACATCCTTGACACTTATGTTTTTTAAACTGGATGTCAAAGCCATGGGTGCTCTACCACTGAGCTGTATCTCTGGCTTCCTTTTCAATTATTTACTTTTTTTTAGTTTTGAGATAGAATTTCACTAAATTACCTAGGCAGATGGGATTTAAACTTCTGGTCCTTCTGTCTCAGCCTCCCAAAGTGATGGAATTGCAGGTATAGGAGACCAGGATACCAAGATTTGAACTCAAAGCCTTTGCATTGAGCTGTGTCTCCATACCTTTTTTGTTTGTTTTGAGACAGGGTCTTGCTGTGTAGTTCAGGCTGGCCTTTTCTCACTATGGAGTGCAGGCTGACTTCACATTTGAGGCAGTCCTCCTGCTTCAGTCTCTGGAGTGCCACAATTACAGGCATGTGCCACCATGCCTGGCTCCTATCCATTGTATTTATTTTGAGATAGGGTCTTGCCAGGTTGCCTAGGCTGACGCCAACTTTCTTTTTTCTGTTTTTTGAGGCAGAGTCTTGCTATGTAGTTCAGGCTGGGTTTGATTTGAACTCCCTATATATCCTAGGCTGGCCTCAAATTTGTGGTGATCCTCCTTCCTCAGCTCAGCCTCTTGAGTGCTGAAATCACAGATGTGTGCTACCATACTTAGCTAACTTTTTGTCTCACTGCCTCAGCCTTCCAGAGTGCTAGATTACAGGAAATCCACTACTCCCAGCCATGTCCTTGCCATTTTGAATTGGTGAGAGGGTTCTACTTTAACAGATGGTCACAAATAATAATAAACTGGAGTTTTATTTATTTGCATCTATTTTATCTATTTTTAGTTTATGGAAAGGTAGTTTTTGCCTTTCCTATAAAAGCAGTAGAGGACCAGAATAATTTGTCTTGTATTCTGAGCATGAAAAGGGATTAAAAGTGATGCTTTTTAATACTTTTTAATTTGTTTGCTTGTTTTTTGGTAGTAAGACTCAAACTCGGGACCTTGTGCTTGCCAGGCAGGCACTTGTGCCACTGAGCTATATATCCCTGGCAATACTTTTTTTTTTCTTATTTTTTGGGGGGCACTGAGGATTGAATCCAAGACCTTTATACAGAGTCACATCTCTTGGCCTTTTTTCCCCTCTTAATTTAATTATTATTATTATTATTTCTTTTGGAGACAGACAGCTGCTAAGTTGCCCAGGCTGGTTTCTGAACTTGCTGTCTTGCTGCTGAAACCTTGCAGAGTGCTGGGATTATAGGCATGGGCCACCTCTCTGGTTTAATTTATTTAATTTCTTATTCCCTGCTCTGCTTCTTTTGGCATAGTGAAATGGTTGGATTAGGAACAGTTCTGTTCAGCTGGGTGTGGTGTGTACTCCTGTAATCTCAGTGCCTGGGAGACAAAGGCAAGGAGGATGGGAGTTAAAGGCCAACCAGAACTACAAAGTGAGACCTTATCTCAAAACACACAAAAAAGTTCTGTTAAAAAAATATGCCTGAAAGCATTTTGACACTGTGTACACAGTGTTGACTATTTTTGTATATCTCTATGTTCACTTAGGCTTGGGTTTAATAAATTCAATTTAGTAGAATTTTTTCTTTCAAGATACATTTTGAAGATGATAAGAGGTTTACTCTGATGTAGAAGAGGCTGCCAAGGGTATTTTGTGATTGAAGAGGGCTTTCCTCTGGATGTACTTGGGGATTATATTGGCAAGAATACGTAATGGTTTACGATTTCCTGAATTGTTAAAGGCTAGAAGTCTGGCCTTGTAGAAATTTAGGGTGTGTGTGGGGTGTGTGTGTGTGTGTGTGTGTGTGTGTGTGTGTGTGTGTTTGTTTCAACAACCCCGAAACCAGTTTATTATTCTTAATACTTGAAGGCCACTTAAATTTTAGTGAAGCTCTGAAATCCTAAAGATACGTTCTCTGGCAGTGTTCAAGTGAGTATGTCATGGTTCAATAATAAGTTGACCAACAGTTTCTTTTCTGTTTTTAATGATAGAGGCAATTGAACCCAGAGCCCACACACTAATAGACATTTCCAGGCCTCTGTTTTATTTTCTCATATTTATTGCTGTATTTGAGGTTGGATTCAGAGGATTTGTACTGAACTGCATCCTCACCCCTTTTTTGTTTGTTTGTTGTGAGACTGGACTGGATCTCTAAATCACTCAGGCTGGGTTTAAATTTGCCACCCTAGTGCCTTAGCCTTGAGTTGTTCCATGCCTATAATACCTCTGTCTAGATTGTTTTACCATTAAACTAGAGCTGGTCTTTTATTCTGCTACAAGTGAAAAACAGGGTAAAACATAGTGTCAGCTCTAAGAAGTATTTAACATCTTTTCTGTTAGAGTAGTTAACAGTTGAATTTGGGGGAGGCAGTTATAAATGAATAGCACCTCCGTAATCCCAGCATTTGGGGGACTGAAGTAGGAAAATTGTCTTGAAGCCAGATGGGCTACATAGTGAGTTCAAGGCCAGCCTGAACTGCATAGTTGGACCTTGTCTGTCTCAAAACAACAACAAAAGCAGCAACAACACCAATCCCTCAAAAATGAGTGCTGGGGCTGGGGATTTAGCTCAGCGGCATAAGTGCCTGTCTTGTAAGCAGGCAGTCGTGAGTTCAATTCCTGGTACCGATAAAAAGGAAAAAGACAAAAAAAAAAAAGATAGACAAAAATGAGTGTTACAAACCGGGAGTGGAGGTGCATGCTTGTAATCCCAGCATTTGGGAGGCTGAGGCAAGTGGGTTGCTTCAAGTTCAAGGCCAGCCTGGGCTACAAAGTGAGGTCAGCCTGAACTGTATAGTGAGTCTCTGTCTCAAAAAAGACCAAAAAAAAAAAAAAAAAATCTTACAACAGCCATTATAAGAGCTTGTTTTTACACTTTGGTTGTTAATAAAAGGTGATATGTGGCACATGGCTGTAATTCCAGCACTTAGGACACTGAGGCAGGAGGATCACTGAGTTGAGGCCAGCCTGGGCTACAAAATGAGTTCAAGGCCAACTTGAACCTCAGTGGAACGCTGTTTCAAGAAAAAAAAAAAAAAAAAGTGATGCAGTTTGCTATCTAGTCTCAGCTGTTTGGTGTATAAAGAAAGTTTATTCTTTCCCCCTCATTCTCATTATTTGGACAATGCTACCACTTACTACTAATAGAATTAGCTCTGATGAGGTGCTGTTGACAGTAACCATCTGTCACACCAGTATTTAGAGAGCTTCTTTCCCTATCTCTAATTAACTTTTTATAGTCCACAAGGAACTTGAAACTCATGTCAGTGAGTCCTCTTTTTAAAAGTAAAGACTTTTGGGTCAGGGGATTTAGCTCAGCGGCTGCCTTGTAAGCACTTGGTTGTGAGTTCAATCCCCGGTACCAAAAAAAAAAAAAAAAAAAAAAAGTAAAGACTTTCTATTTCAGAGTCTTGATTTTAAGGTGGTGGGAGGGTTAGAAAGGAAGTAGTTGGTTTGTTTTTGTTTTTTGATGAGTGTTCTTATTGAGCTACATCACCAGCCCCCCCCCTTTTTTTTTCTTAATGGTACCAGGGATTGAACTCATGACCTTCTGCTTACCAGGCAGGCACTTATGCCAGTGAGCTAAATCCCCGGCCCCAGTCTGTTCTTGTAGTCTACTCACTATGTAGCCCAGGATGGCATGGAACTTGTGGTGATCCTCTTGCC